GTGGCCATAGTGGGCATGGCCTAGTTGGCCTCCTGCACGAAGTGGGGCGGGGGGAGGATTTGCGCCTTCCCTGGCTCCAGAGGCTCCTCTTGAGCCTCCTGCTCTCAAAGCCAGAAATAGGCCCGTTTCCGGAACTTCCTTAAAGCCCATTTTTCCTCCTCCCCGAGCCTCTGCATGGGCCCTGCACTTACCCCGCATCCAAAATGGGCCGTGTGGAGACTCCTGGGAAAGGCAGGGTGGGGTGAAATGGGCCAACCAGGGATGGGATTTGGAGGTTCTCCAAACCAGCCATAACGTTAGCTATGGGGGAGCTGGAGGAACCCATAGCAGCCCACCCCTGGGATGAAGAAAATATTATTTCCATTTTTATTGTTCAAAATCTACCCCTGTATATGTATACCATAGCTATCCACACATCTTTATTTATTTTTTCTTCCTGAGAGGGGGATGAGTTTCTACCAGTCCTTTCCAAAGGCTCTGAGCGAGGCTCTGGATTTAGTCGGCAGAAGGATCTTCGCCTTGGTTCTTCAGTAAGTGACAGCTCTGTGTTGACAGAACAGCCCCCCTCCTATTTCATTTTTCTCTGCTTTGAACTTCTGCTTTCGTACACAGGAGAAATGTGTCCAAAATTTTTCACAGCTATTTTTGAATTATCCTTATGTTTGTAGTTCTTCTATCTGCTATGTTTCGCTGACTGCTTTCATTACCACTTTTTGTCTGTTCTTTTACATTTTTCCCTATCAGCATCTGCAAACAGATACCTCTCTTTTCTCCACTTCTTTTTTAGTTGTGCATGGGCTTCCCAAACTCCCTTATACTTTTTAATAAATTTATCTTCCATTACCTTTCCTATCCTGATTCCTATTTTTTTTGTTGTTTCTTACTTCTATACTTCACCAACTCCTTTAAATTCCTTTGTTTGTTATGGTTCTCATTTTCACAGGGACCTCCACCCAATGCAGAAGCATCTGGGCCACTGAGCCATTCTCAGTTCCAAGGCCTTTTTCGACAGCCTCAAACACAAACCAATCTTCTAGGACGAGAGTATGTAGGCAACAAGGTATGTCAGATGTATAATATGGGAGTTATTTGGGGATCTTAGAATTGTTTTCATAATCACATATTTCTTGTCCACTTTTTTGAGGCACCCTTAGTTCCGCTTTCATGCCTTTCTCCATATAGGAGTCATCGGGATTCAGCACCAACAACCTTAATTATGTGACACCTGCGTATGACCCAAATCTGCCCAACAGGTTTTTGACAAGCTATAATTCCAAGTGAGTTTGGTAGTAGTTTACCATCCATATTAGGATAGTAACATTCAGGGAGTCAGTTTGGTCTACTGGTTAAGGCAACAGGCTAGAAACCAGGAGGCCACGAGTTCTAGTTCTGACTTAGGCATGAAAGTCAGCTGGGTGACTTTGGGCCACTTGTTCTCCCTCTGCTCATTCAACGCCTGTCACAATAGGTTGATCCAATAAAAGCAGACCCTGAACTTGCAGGAAAATGCTAGGAGGGGGGAGGGAGATAGTAAATTTCCAAAGCTCTCTTAAAGCATATTTTTTTCCCTATCTGTATAGGATTCTTTTATCTGTATGGGTCAAGTTATTTGAAGCAAGGACTTTGGAGGATGGATAGTGGGAGGAGAGGGCAGAAAAAAATAGTGGGCCTGCTATTTGTAGAAAAACAAATATTCGTACCCTAGTGTAAGCTCTCAAACTGCAAGTCTGCAGTGCCAGAGGCAAGCAGTGCCATAGTAAAGACATACAGTATCTCTGATTTCTATTTGTGAGATCACAAGAAGCGGTTGCTGGATCTTCCAGGCATTAATCATCTTTCTCTTTATCAGGTTTTATGAAACCATTTCAAAGGGAGTGGACAGGGAGGGCTGGACCCGAGGGGGTATCCAGCCTCAACAAGCAGGTGGCTTTGCTACGAACAATCACGGAACTGGCTTAGGAAGTGATCCTAATGCTACAGAAACCTTGAGGACTGTTCATCCCCATGTTGGCAGGTGACATCATAGGGGCAGGGCTGTTTCTTTTTCTTTTGCTCCATCAAGTCATTTCTGGTGCCTGTTGCCATTTCATCTGTTTCCCTCAGGTGCCTTCTACCCTCTTTTATTTATCTCCTCCCCTGCTTGCCTTCTGCCATTATAGGACGATCACAACTGTTGACCCATTCTATCGTGATTCTCCCCATGATCGGCGCTTTGCTGCTCTTCATCAGACAGCTGTCCCCAATTAAGTAAGTAACTTGGTCCATTGCACTTTTAGGCACTCCAAAAGCAGGGCAAAATATGACGGTATTATCAGGTTAAGATATGTAAGATTATAGTAGTACACTGTATGAGTTTAATAATTCAACTACTGTTGAGAAACTAAAGCTCAATTTAGTTCCTCCTGTGTCTACTCAAGATTTCCCAGTTTCAGAAGAAAATGCAAATATTTGATATTTCTCTCTCTCAACCAGAGGTGGGCTTCTGTTGGTTTGATCCGGATTGGGAAAACTGGTAGTGGCGGCAACGGGAGGCTCCAGCCACCTGCCTGCATGCTCAGAAGTGTTGTGCGCACTCATGAGCGAACCGGTAGTAAAAAAAAAAGAAACTGACCACTGGTCTCAACACACAGCAAAACGACACAGAACCATCAAGTCGTTTTCTCTTTTCAAGAAAAGTTCTAGGAACTTGCTACAGATCAATGTTGCAGGGGAGGGAATCTCACAAGTCATAAATGGAGACTATTGTCACATTCATGTCATCCTTATTTTTCCGTTCAGCATAAAATCTTATCCTAATTTTACATGTCTGCCTCTTTCCAGCCTCTCTTCAGAAGTGAAAAGCACAGTGATGTCTTTAGACTTCAAGGAACCACTCTACATGCTAAGGAAGGAGCGTCACGAATTGTACTGTCATAATGAATCTGTCTTATTTTATGTGGTATTGTTTTAAAGAAATTAAGACATATATTCAAGCTGTGTCTCCTGTCCTAGATTAGCACCTTGAAATGGATTAAAAAAATATTTGGGATAGTTATGGTTTTTTTTGAAGACTGGGAAATGAAGGATGCGAGAGCCAGGGTTAACCAACAAGAACAACCTTTATTCAAACGGAAGAACGAAGTGACAGAATATACAACAGTTTTTATAGAGTTTCTGCATCTCTATAGCTGTAAAAAACTTGGTGGCATAATGTGAGCATCTGACTAGCTGAGAGCTCTTAATGTCTCTCTAACTACAGAGTAAAAATACCAAGAAATAAGGGCCTGTCCCCATGACACTGCTTTTATTTCATCCTTAATTCACAGTAGAAGAAGCTTAAATTTATATTTAGCTCTTCCAATTTTGAAGTGATACTTTCCACCTTCTGGGACAACTTTTGTTGTAGCTGTATATTTTAATGCTTTTTTGGTTACATGGTTGATGGTACAGCTGGAGGTTGCTGTGAACATAGCCCCTTTCCCTCTGGTTGCTGGGCGTGGCCCTCCATTGGCACTTTGATTTGGAACCCAGGACATACAGGTTTCTACAGAAGTACCCTAAAGTATGCTAGATCCACAGATTCCTCTCCCCCCACTAATTGACAGGTCAAAAGATGCAGCAGAGGAGTGCTTTGTGTACTGGAAGATAGCACCTCCAATACTTGCAATCCTCCTTTGACCTATCAGTTGGACTATTTTGAAAAGGAGTCACCCGTGTTAAAAAACAAACAAACAGCTGGCTGGGCACAGGCATGGAGCACTTCTATATCTGTGAGCCACCAACCCAGTAACTTTAAAGCTAGCTAAACCCTCCATCCTAGATCACTATTCACACTTGTCTCAATGCATATTAAGAGGTGATTATGGTTCCTTTTCCTGATGGCAAGTTAAGCTTGGTAGGAGAGGAGATGAATCCAGGGAAAATCTACCAATCTTTTTCTTTAACTTTAAGGGCAGTTCTTGATCTTGTGATGGAGGCTCACTTGGGCTTGGGAGTTGGGGCTGCACAGATTATGCCAGCATATGTTTTGCTAGCTTAAGAAATGGAAAAATGCATGTGAATGCAATCACAAAGAACACCTAGTATGCATATGCTGCTTGCAACATGCCAGGATGTTCTGGTTTGGGAAACATTTTCTTTTCCATTTCCAAACATCCCATCACTACATTTGCGCAATCTTTTCTAAAATCTGTTAGGGAAGATCAATATCTAAGATAAAAGTGCCACCTATCTGTGACATACTTCATATATTATTCTTAGCCACTATGTGTTCTACTTGGTTCAGACTTTATTATTTATAAATTTTGGTCTTTAGTATAGCATGAGTCACAAGCCTAGCTATTGAGTAGGTGATGCTTGTGACCTAGTCATATACGTAAGTGTCACAAAACCAGAAAGAAATGGACGGCAGACACCGAGATTTTCTTTTGGGAGACTTCTCCTATCACACTTCTTCTATCCTGGAGGGCTTCATTTGTCATCTGTAGTGAAATGGTGGTCCTATTCTGCTAAAAGTGAAAAGTGATGGAATGTTAGAGCTAATGCAATGTGCCTTTACAAGTTGAACCTAACCTGTGACCCCATTGGGCCTTTGTTGAGAGAAAGATAATGCAGTCTGATGTAACCAGAATAAACATTAAATGCTAAGCCAACCATATATTGTTTTACCTCAATGTTGCATGGTCCCATAACTATCTAAAAAGAGTACGTTTTCATAAGTAGAAAAATAATTGTAGTGGCAAATGAACTTCAATAATATATCAGTATTTACTAATCTAAACAAATGACCAGAATGACCATGGGTAAGCAAAAAAGCAGTGAGAGCAGGAGTTACTTCCAACTTCCTGCTGGCTTCCCCATTGAGTTTCCTTGTGAGAAGCTGGCAGCAAGCATCAGAAATCACAATCACTTGACTGAGTGGATGTTACCACATCTACAATTTTGCAAGTAGATTGGGTCTGAATATTGTAGAAATTTCAATTTCACAGGAGAAATGAATCCTAGGTTTTTTAAACATATTTTTTAAGTTAGCAGATTACATACCTCGATACCTCGATTTAAGAATTGTTGCAATTTAATGGACCATTTCAACTAACTTGAGGGAACAAACAGACAAACAGATAAACACAAGAGTTTTAGTAGTATATAGATTCATTGAAGTACTAAGGATATAACTCCCTGATCTCAATCATATGCATGTACAGCATACAGAGGTAGAAGGATCTCTTGTCTCTCTGCAGGGTATGATGAAACATAATTCTGTAAAGCTTACCTACTCCTCTTTGTGATACACACACTGACAAACCTGTCTATAGAGTTAAGAAGACTTTGTTGATTTCAGATTTGATGGAGTAAACATTCAGAAGTTGCAGAAAGCACATCTGGAATTAGAATTCCTTCTGGTTTTTTGTGTGACTCTTAGGAAAAATTTACTTCTTTGCAGACTTGAAAACTAAAGACACAGAAATGCTAGCCCCATTATCTTGTGTGCTGAATTATTCCTTTTCAGCAAGGAACAGAAACTGTGGATTACTTTACCAGTTAGGTGTAATGCACACCAATTCTCCTTTTGTTCTCAGTTTTCTGTCCAGTAATAATAGCTGTTATATTGTATTCTCTCTTTTTTATTTCCATCCATTTCTCACATTTCTACCAGTGGATGAGTTTTCACTCTGGTGTCTGTTTCACAAGCTGGTAGTATTGCTGCTGCCTTACTGGAAAACAGAGCAGCTATATGTTCAGTGTGGGGTCATCTGGCCTCATCAATTTTTTACTGGACTTTGGATTAATATAACACATCACTCCAACTGGAGAAAGGAGAAATGGCTTACAATGGTTGTACCGTTTGCCTAGCCAACCCCATGCTCTTGTTTTAGAAGTTATCTTTTTTGCAATTCGGTATATGTAAGAGCTGGGTTAGGTTTGGTTTGGTTTGAGGGATTCTGGAATTAGGAAAGAAAACACTGTGCATTTCTTTTTAAAACAATGCAGTCTCCATGAACGTTATGCCTCAGCTGATTTTGTAGTCTCAAAATATGGTTTTTAATATTTCTCTTTTAAAAAGTTTCAGGAACCATTCTTATGACTTTTTTTTTTAATGTTTAACAATTTTAAGGCCTTGCAATAAGTTTATATTGCTTATTATCTAATGCGGCCCCTTTCTTAATGAAACTGTCAGATAAATTCCATCTGCTGTATCAGTATTGCAAGAAAAGGAGAACATTGCTACTCACTTATCGTGTGTCAGCTAGCTCATGGCCACACCTCCACCATGTTGACGTTATCATCTTTTCATACACCTTGCAAAAATGTACTCTTGGCTATGTTGTTCTGTCTGAGACACACTCTCTCTGCTTTTTCCCTCCCACTGAATATCTGTGTTTGTATTTTCCCAGATGGATTAGCTGTATTTTCTGAAGATAAGCAGCCCATGCTGTCACTAAATGAGTAGGGGGTTATTGTCCCAAATTGTGTTTTTGTCCAGTGAGTGGATAGGCTGGCATGTTTTCCACTTTGGGAAAAAGCTTGTATAAAAGTAATATGATGATGCTATGGTTATCTACAGAATGAATATTTGATGTGTGATTATGTTGTTGAGCCCAAAAAGGAACATAGACATATGGATCAGCTCTATATTACTAACTGGCAATTGACTCAACAGAGAGATGCAGGCATATAATTGTGGGGAAAGAATCCACTTCACCTTTTCTGAACCATCTGGAGTGAAATAAATGCAGAGCGGGTGTCACAATGATGTTACAATGATGTTTGTGTGTGTGTGTGTGTGTGTGTGTGTGTGTGTATGTGTGTACCAAAATAGCTAGAATACCAGTGGGGATTGGTACCAAAATAACTTGGTGGGGTTAGGGTGAAAGCTCCTGGGGGTGGGTGAACTGACTGAGATAAGTATCTTTCTGGGTATAGTCTTCTCAGAGTACAATGTATGATACTAAAGTTACCGGTAATTCAGAAATGAATTAATTGCTCATTTCTGTGGGAGCTAATTAAGGATCTCCAGTATTTGTTTCAGTTGCTGAATGTGCCATCAATGCTGGCATTCATTTATGGTTATGGTTATGATCTGCTACTACTATTGCATGTTAGGCAGATGTAAAGATATTTGTTTACTTTTCCATAAGTAAAAGGTAACATTTACCCAAAGAAGAACCTATTTAGGGTTGATTCATTACTTAGAACCCTAGGCAAGAACACATTATAATGACGCTTCATTATTCATTTTATTTGCTGGGTTATGCTAGTTCCATATCTTTATATTAGTATAACAGATACTATAGACTTCTAGCGGCCTCTCTAAATGTTGTAGCAGCAGCTTCACAGCTACAGAAGTAATTTATGTGTTGGTATCTGTGATAAAATAGTGTTTTCCTGTATTAAGGCAGCAAGACTAGAGGCCAGTGTTTATGTTACAGCAGATGGTTCACGCTAAAATCATAGGAAGAACAATGTCATGCACAGTAGGCTGTAAATATTGCCTTTTTCCAGATTGTTGAAGCAGGTAGAAATGCTTTGTCAGATTGGTTAAGCAGAGTACTATGTCAAGTCAGTTCATGTGGAAATCTGAATGTGCTCTTGACGTGTGTGTACAACCTCCTCGTATTTTTAGAGGGAAGGATGGAGGAGTGTCCACAGGCAAAGTCAAAAAAGTCAAGATGGTGACCAGAACCATGTATGTAGCTGAAAATTCACCTTTTTAATGTGTTGTGACATAAGGGGTAGCACTTGATTGCATACTTGTGGCCCCATTTTGATTTTTGAACTTCCCCTCGCAGAGATACCTGGAAGGATGGATCTGTTCTTCAGGGATTCCGGTTACTGTACTGTTGCTACAAAATGAAACAGGTTTCAACTTTGCAGCTAATTGATCTGTTTGAAATGCGGACAGAAAGCTTCCTTGACATGTTGTTTTGAAAAGATTTGAGGATGTGCCTCCTCCAACTTCCTTAAGTGAATACAATATTCATTGTTAAAATGTTGTTTCCTGTTGACAAAATATTTCTTGGCTTCCCCCCCCCCCCTCAGACTATTGTCAAGTAACAGCAAATAAATCTTTTGAATCTTCAGATACAGATAATCCTCGACTTACAATCACAATTGAGTCCATCATGTCTGTTGTGAAACATGTTTGCCCTGTTTTATGACCTATATTGTCAGTTATTAAATGAATCACTGCATTGGATAAGTTAGCAACATGGTTGTAAAGTGAATCTGGCTTCCCCATTGATTTTTGCTTGCAAAAGGTGATCATGTGACCTTGGGACACAGCACCATTCATAAGTATGAACCAGTTGCCAAGCATCTAAATTTTGATCACACGATCATGGGGCTGCTAAAAAGGTCATAAATATGAAAAACATTCATGTCGCTTTTTTCAGTGCCATTGTAACTTTGAACAGTCATTAAATGAACAGTTATAAGTCGAGAACTAGCTGTATTAGATTTCAGTTCTCAACAAATTTGGTGAAATGGAAACAGCATAGTTTCAGTGTAGGGCATTGTTCTTTATTTAAAAAATATTACATGTTTTGTTGAATTTTTTAAACAATCTGTTAAAAGAAATCTCTGATTGGTGGGGTTGATAGAAGCTGAAATCCAGCCTCTGGAAGGCAACTGTTCTTGCATTCTGCAGTCTCCTCTCCTCTTGGAAACATTTAAAGTCGAAGGATGAATGAACATTTGAATTGGAAAGTAGAGTGGTCCCCTTGTCTATGTCTTCCGAGGGGCAAAGAAGAACCACCCAAACTTTTGTTTTACGGAGATGCTGCCCTTCTCGCAGCAGATTAAAAGGACGGCATCCCCCACACGGATGGGCTGCCTATCCGGATGCAAAGGTAGATCTGGGAAGCTGCTGGCGGCGGCAGGGGCGTAAGAGGCTGGCCGGGTGGGTCTCCGCATTCGGGGGGAGCGGCGGAGTCCTTCGCGGCGCTGCACATCAGCGAGCAAAGAGGACCCGGCCCATTTCGTCGTCTTTTCCTCCGACTCCGGGAAACTGAAGCCCAGGTTGTTGTTGTTTTTTTAAAAAAAGGCGGAGGCGGCGTTTTTGGCGCGCCTTTGTGGGTTTTTTTTTGCCTAACCCCGTCCTCTCCCCCGGAGGGGGCGTGGCAGGCCGAGGGTAGGGGAAGCGCGTAGTAGACGAAAGAGAGGGAAGAACGAATTCTTAGTCCCGCCCCGTCCGATCCGCTCGGCTCCGCCATAGGCGAACGATCCCGCGTGGGGGTTTCCATGGAAACGCCGAGTCGCTAGGCGCCCGGCTCATGTGTGGGAGTCTCGCTCAGACCTAGCGGGGATCCGGGAGGGAGAAAGCCCTGGAGGCGGAGGACCCGCGGACCGGCCAGCCGTCCGCCGTCTAGAGGAACCGGTCCTCGGAAGAGCTTGAGCTGGCGGCTCCTTTCTGAGGCTCCTGGTGATGGGCGGCAGCTGGCGCGGTAGCCCAGCCTTCGAGGTTAAAGGTTGGGCTGGTCCTCGGAGGCGGGCAGGCAACCCGGCTCTTGGAGCTTAATCCACCCGATGCCCGGGAACGCCCTCCGCGCCCCTCCGGTCCGGGGGTCACAGATGGCGAGCCCAGGAGCCACACCCCGGAGTCCAGCCGACGACTGGAGGACCCCAGTCTTCGGGCACAAGGAAGGGATTTGAAAGAGGAGCCGGCCTGGCAGAGCTCGTCTTCCTCCGGAGACTCCTTCCAGGAAGGACCCAGTCTCAAGGGCTGGTGGAGCTTAGCCGGTTGCCATGCCTTGGAGGATTCCCTGTGGAGGCGGTGGCGGTGGCAGTGTTCATCCTGCTCACACCTTCCCTTGTCTCTGAGGATGGGCAGTGGTGGTTCCTCAGGCAGGGAGGAGCGGCTGCCATCAGTGGCTGAAGAACAGCTGAGTGGAGGGGATCAGATGCTAGAGCTCTCTGGGCGCTACCTGAGGAAGCTGCCGACGCCAGTATGTGCCCTGAGCACTCTGCAGAAGCTCTACATCAGTGGCACGGGGATCACACAGCTGCCTGACGAGATTGGGGGATTGCAAGAGCTACGCATCCTGGCCCTGGACTTTAACAAGCTGGAGGAAGTGCCCAGAACCTTGTGCTGCCTTCCCCACTTGACTCGGCTCTATCTGGGCAGCAACCGCCTCTTTGCCCTCCCTGCGGAATTCTGTCAGCTCAAGACTCTCCGTTGCTTGTGGATTGAGAGCAATTATTTGTACCACTTTCCCCAGGTTCTCCTCCAGATGCCCGAACTGCAATCCTTGCAGATGGGAGACAACCGTCTCAAAACCTTACCAAGTGGCCTGCCACTCATGAAGGGTCTTCGAGGACTTTGGTTGTATGGAAACCGTTTTGCGGAGTTTCCAAAACCTTTACTTCGCATGAGTCAGCTTCACATTCTTGATGTGGACCGTAACAAGCTGACTGAATTCCCTGACTTGAGTCACCTGCGGAGGCTCCGACTTTTCTCCTATGACCATAATCCAGTGGAAGCACCGCCCAGTGTGGCTGACACTGTCCTTGTAGTGGGTGAGGGAGCACAGGAATTCATGGAGGCTAGGGAGGAACGTCTCCAGGCTCTTCGACAGCAGAAAGCAGAAGAGCAGGAAGAGAATGAATCTGAAGTTTTACAACCCAATATGAAAAATGATTCCACTGTATTGGAGGAGGAGGGAAGCTTTTCTGCTCTGGAATGCTCTCCTGAGGAGACATGAAATATTAGTAATGGCATGATTGCTGCTAAAGAAATCTAGTAGGTACTGATAGGTTTTCAAATCTGCAATTGACTTGTAGAAAATTAAGAGCTGGGCACTCCCCCTTGTCTCAAAAGTTGCAGTCAGAGGCAGGATTGTGGGTAGCAGATGACTACAATAGTTGATAGCCCTTTGTAAAGAACATTGATCACCTATTCATCAGAAAGCTTGTTGTCTTCTTATTCTGAATGGAATCATGGGCAGCCTCTGCCAAAATGTCTGTAGTGCTTTATGGGTAATTTTGTGTTCTGTCTAATCCTAGGGCACAACTCCCTAATTTGAAGTATCTATAATGACCACATATGGCTGACAGAAACAGAATTTCAGATTGACATTCTATTTGCCTGGCATTGTAAAGTGAATCTCAAAAGCAAGACAGGATAAAGCCATTTTTTTGGTTTATTCCCCAGTCCATCCCCATAATAACTTTCATTGTCAAAATTTTAATCCCATAACTGGAATTAGACTTGGAGGGAAACCTATTCCTTCAGCTGTTAGGTTTGAGAAGAAGCTCAGGTGAAATCCTTGTTTGTGCATAGAGCTATTTGTCCTGGAAAAGCTTTGCTTCTATTCTTTTTACAGCAGGAAAAAGAGTCATGCATTACTCTGTTGCTTTCCTGGACTTTCTATTCCCTTAAAGGGGCACAGAAGCAAAACTGATATGACCTTGGCCACTGCAGATTTGCATGGATATAGAACCGAAGAGGGAGGCGGCCACAGGACTTTTTCTTGTATGGGAGTGTGACAGGTTCATTCTCCTGGGGTCCTTTGGGCTAGATTTGTATTAAATCTAAGCAATAAAAGCCTGTTAGAGAAGAGAAGGAGGGAAGGGCACACATTCTCAGGGAGATTGCTACAAAAGCAGGAGACCAAAGGTGTGAGGTATCGCTGTTTTAAAGAGAGTTGTAAACGAAATTACAGTACCTAGTGAATGGAATCATGTTTCTCAGGCATCCTTGTTACATATATTAGAAATCCTGCTTTTGCTATATCTGATTGCGCACTTTTCTCTGTTTTCCTGCTTCTGAGATTTCTTTGCTTCCCCTTTCTGATTTCCTTTTTTCCATAATTATCTGCTGCTGTCCTTCCCTGCCTCCCTTTTCAGAATACATTTCTTTGTCAACTGAGTTCAGTCTTTCTCTGGACTGATAGCACTTTCCTCAGCCTCAATTTCAATATCTGTCCTGGCACAATATGGTAGCCAGCATCAACAAAGTTAATGTCTTTTTCTTGGATTAATTTTAGCTTTATAATGAACATTTATGCTGTATGTTGTCTTATTATAGTTTATTTTTCATTAATTTTTCATTAACATATATGGAAATATATACCCCCCCTTCATTCTCACTGTTGTTTTCTTCTGACAGAGAAACAAAGAAAGGCTTTCAGTGTAGTACAGTGATACTGAGTGCAATTATCAGCTTCACCTTTTTTCCTTTTTAATTGGTTGCAACCATTTTACATGGGATGTTTTCACACCTTTGTTAGGCTAACCACCTAATCACTGTCCTTTTTTGGTGTGTGAAATCTCATACCATGGATGTTCAGTCCCACACCTAAGTCATTCATATGCAGCTTCTGCCTCATAGCCACATGGTGCTGTCATAATTGAAGTACACAGTAGCAATTTTTGTTGGCTTCCATATCCATTTTTAGCATCACAGTGTTTACTGCAGTAAGTGAGGCCGTATGTTTGAAATATTAGTTCGATAATTGAACTGTTGAACATTTTGTCAAAGCAAACAATAGATTTGGCATGACATAGGTTCCCACCCGAACTAGGTCAGTATTTACCAAACTGATGTTTTCTTCTTCTAAGAGGTTTCGTATAGTAATTGTCTCTGTATTCATTACAAGAATTCAAAAGGGAAAAAGAATTCATTTCTCACTTTTAAGTGAATTTTAATCATGACTGTAATGAACTCTGTAGTTCTGTGCTAACCACAGCAACTTGAAAACATTCAGATAATTCATGACAACTTTTTCTCAGTATTTAAGAAACAGGACCTCATAGACCAAAAATTTTGCTGGATTGGTTTTAATCTTCCATGAATATTTCCTTTCTAGAATGCTATTTAGCATGCCAGAGGAATTGAAAAAACATGCTGACTACAAACTGGTGATGGTTCATAACATGTGTCATTCAGCATTAAGAAGGGTTCACATTTGGCAAAGTTCTGCTTACTTGGCAAACACTGAAAAAGTAGTGGGTTGGTTAGCAACTAAAAAATGCAGTAGAGAACACAAATACTTAAGCCATGAAAAGCTAAATTGGCAGGGTCCCTGTTAGAAAAATATTGAGTATGCTTGATGATATAATGTAATTATGAGGAATGGGTGGAATTGTGTCATCTTTGAAAAACACAATTAGGGCTGTCCCTGTCAGAGACAGAGCTGTCCCTCTGCCATTCCCTCTGTTGAAAAACATTTGCACCACTTAGCTTGTTCTTCATTCCTGTACTAGCTTGCTACCTTCAGGTGCTACTCAATTACCAGTATTAAAGTTGTATTCATGTGCTAAACGAATTCATACATCTTAACATTTGCCTTGAGTAGCTGAGTCTTGGGTTAGCATCAAACTGAGGTTTTACTGCACTTCAGGCAAATGCATTTTGTCATTAGGACAGGGAATTTTCAATCCTTGATAGAGGTTGGAGAGTGGTCTTTGCAGCAACCAGCATCCTGCCGGAGTAGAGCAGGTGGCCTACTGTGCAATACACTACAAATTATACAATAATTGTCCAACTGTAGCCCCAGGAAGGGTTGTGAGAGCCACAGTAATCTCTAAGCACGTTTTCTTATTTCAAGTGGCTGTGACCCAGGGCTCTTTAGTAATACTAAAGAACTGGTTCTCTGCAGTTAGCTAGACGTAGAATTAAATATTGTTTCTTATGGCAGTTATAGAAGATTGACTAGCAAAAATCCTTCTGTGATACTTCCAATTAGATTCTGATTAACAAAGAATCATTTCTAACTTTAATTAGAAGCTTCCCAGGTGTAGCGTCAGTCTCTAATTGTGATCTGTTCATAGCATCCTAACTATCCCTTAATTAATTGCCTTTCCCAACAGGAGCTTTAAGCTATTGGTTTTTGGTTTCCTTGAAAAAATATCATGGAATCATGCTACTTTTAAATTTAAAATTTAAAGGGAAAATAATTAAAAGAAAATGATAGTGCTGATAGAAATTAGGGTTGACTAATAAAAAAGGTAAAATCAGTAACACTCTGACCACAATGAACAGGAAATAATTAGTGGCTACAGCTACTAGAAGAAGCTTTTATTTAAAATAAAAATAAATTTATCTTGAAAAATGTGGTGGTGTTTTATTCATTAAAAAAATCAGTGTTAATTAATTTTATTGTCATTTTCTAACTGATTTAAAATGCTGCTACTTACACCTGCAGAAGATAGGAAGACAACATGGAGAACATTGGGTTGTAGTGGAATGGCAACAGCATCTGAGTTCACCATTAAAAGAAAGTGGAAGAAGAATACAATTCTTTTAAATTTTACATATGATATTTTTATATTAGTTTTTTTTTAATTGTACACCACTCTGATTCCCTCTGTGAGGAAGATGAGCAGTTCTTCAATATGATAAATAAATAAATCAATCTTCAAAAAGCTTGGTTGGGGACATAAAACTGTTACAGCAACAAAACCGTACAATTATGAACTTCATTCATTCATATTTTCCTGATCATTAAAAAATGAGCTAGAATTGACTAATTCTACCTTAGAAGGATTTTAATTCAGAACTGGCAAATGTTTAGGGAAAGGATGATCCGGGTTGAAGGTAAATTCATTTCAGTGTATGTGCTGATTCACTTTGATAAGTAAACTTAAGAGGATGCCTTTAAGCAATCCCAACATTTACTAGTTTGGATTATTAATCTTTTTGGTGGAAGATACATATTTACCAGAAGAAATTTTAAATAATTAGGCTAGAGAATGTGATCACTGGCTGTCACATCTGAAATCAGATATCAGTTGAATGTGCAAGTAGACAATACTTGTTACACACTGCTAGGACATATATGACTTACAACTGACATGCACATCTATATCTTCCATTTGTACTAGTTCTATATCGGGTATCCTTTACCTTTGCTGTATATATTTTCCCTATGTTTGGTACTTTACCAAAGACTTTGATGAATATGCTTTGTCTACATCGGAATTTCTCAGTGCTGGTTGGTAAATTCTGGGAGTTGAAGTTCATACATCTTGCAATTGCTGAGGCTGAGAAACCCCTGATCTACACTATTCCATTGAGCTGCTAAGCAGATAACAAAGAATGATACAAAGTTAGTTTGGCATGATTTGTCTGTGACAAACCCATGCTGGTTTCTGTTAATTATAGCATTTCTTTTCAAGTACTTATAAAGATGCTGCTTAATCTAAGGACCTTATCCAATAGAGATGTCTAACAGATGTAGAGCTTCTCACACCCTCCTCATTTCCCTTTTTGGGCAAGAGAATTACATTTGATCCCCTCCGATATTCTGGGAACCCATCAATTCTCTGTGTGTTCTGAACCTACTTAGGCTGGTTCTGCTGTTATCTGTGCTAATTCCTTCAGACTCCAGGTTGTAATATAGTACATGTGTCTCCAGAGACTTAATTTCAGGTAGTTCTTATCTACTACCTCCTTGTTTATCTACGGTATGTTTTGTTAATCCCTTACTGACATAACAATGACTACCTAGGGTTCAATTTCCTTTTTGAAGGAAGGCAGACGCAAAACAGATTTTAAAAAATGTTGCTGCCTTACAGTCATCTCTTTATCACAATGAACTTACAGGTAGTTAAAAATATTGGTATCCCTCTGCTTTTTCTTAAAGAAGCCCAATCTGCTGTGAAATAAGTGGGAAATGACACAAATTAATGCCATCTGCCATTCTCTATTATATAGTTCATAGGGCAGACACTTAGCTTTTGATGTATGACTTGACATATTCCTGTAATTAACAAAACAAATGAAAATGGCATATGCTTAGGATCTAACTCAAAAATTAGTGGTATTTATGTTGAAACGAGTAATATAAGTTGGAAATTATATAACAATCCCCCATGTGTTTCAAATGCAGCTAATTTAAACTGGCTCCAATCCAATGAAATCTATATAAATACAGTGTTTTGAACATTTGAGGCAGCTTTATCAATGTGCTTTGAATGACAACAAAATTGCTATAGAGTAAGCCCATTGCTTTTGCAATCTGTCACAACCATTCTTTAGCAGATTATTTTAGATTCAGATAATAGTTTTATATTCTTTATAAAATATGTGGCTTGTGACTATTCTTGGATGAATAGTACAGTAATAACTATGACCAGCGGGTAGTCCTGAGCAGGACAAGTCCATCTTTTGAAAGAAGAATATTTGGGAAGAAGCTGCATTAATGCATTGCTTCTTTAGGCACTTTGTTCTACAGGAATACATTTTTACAAATGTATTTGTAAATATGAAACACATTTTAATAATTTATCCTGTAACTTCCAGCACTGTCTGAAGTTTCCTTGTCACTGATGCCAGTTTAATTATATCAAAGTTTCAGGAACTACAGAATTCACAGGATTTTGCAATTACTTTTCCAGCACACCTAATATTCAAATCAATAGTAAAGGTCACAAACTAGATTGACCAGATCTAAGTTATAAAATACTTTGGTCACCTAATGAGAAGGAAGGACTCAATGGAGAAGAGCTTAATGCTGGGAGTGATTGAGGGCAAAAAAGGGGGGATGGCAGAGAATGAGGTGGCTGCAGTTAGTGTCAGCTTAAATGGACTCCGGGGGATGTTAGAGGACAGGAAGGCATGGAGGAACATTGTCCATGGGGTCGCGATGGGTCAGATACAACTTTGCAACTAACAACAAAAGTTGTAAAAATACAGATGACTAACTAGATGCAGATTTTTTTTTAAAAAAAAAATTATTGCCACCTAGTAGTTGTATGGATTTTTTGCAACCAAGTTTTGCTAGACCTATTCTCAGCTACCCATTCTTGATAGCCCTATTCTCACAGCTACTTATTCTTCAGTGGAAAAATGAAAAAGCAGCACTTCCTGGTTTTGAAGTTCCCAGATGTCATTAAAAGATGTTCTATCTTTTTTTATCCAATAAGTGGGCATGCTTTCCTCCAGTCTTACGTAACAAGTAATTCTTATAATTATGCTTACATTGTTTCTATGTTTAGGTGCCTGCATTTCCTTTGCAATATTTTAGATGATGATGATGTCAAGCACTTGAGGGAGGCAACACACCAGGATATTTGAAAGATATTTATTGCTAATAAGGTACGGTAACAGAAAACTTGCCAAAGCAGTTCTCCAGTTTGAGTTATACCTAGTATAATTAAGGAGTAAGACTCTCTCACATTCTCTTCCACTGGACCCTGGATTCATTTCTGCAACAACCCTGCTCCCTCCTATAATGGGAGTGCTCTCTTCTTGGTCTTCCCAGGTCTGTTAGACCTTCCTTCACAGGTGAGAATCATGATGGAGATCTTTTCTCTCCTGTCAAAGTGGATTTCATCTGGCAGCAGACTCATGAGACCCAACTCTACTCATGAGATGTTGAAACTATGTTTGATGCTAATGTGATTTTAAATACAATGCAGCTCAAATACAATATCAGCCCAGTAAAGATTTACGTTGGGATTTCAATAGATCTCATTCCAGTGCAATTCATTGTTCTCACTATTCTGCTTGCCCTGTTATCTCTCAATATCTATTTCTGAATAATGTTATCCTTTTTAAAATAGTGTTTTCTACTTTCTAGGTTGACCCGTGTTTCTTAGAGAGAGGCAGGCCCTTCTTCTCTTATTAGATCTGTTAAGGGCTGGTTTGTCCTTTTTGCACTTACCTTTGGGGTTTGATATAAATAGGATTTTCTATGTGGCTTCAGTAGAATCCTGATAACAGCCAGCCTTTTTACCCACACAATCATAGCTCTGTGGTAGGTAATACTTTATTACAATCTGTGATCAGCTACAAAACATATGCTACCTAATCTTTAATCAAATAAGAGAAAGAATGTAGTGTTAATATTTTTAGCAGTACTTTGAAAAGTAAGTAGTTATTAAACAATGTGTAATGATGTTACTGGCGCCTTCTACTGGTATATACCAGTCTGAAAAATAATGTACCTCTTCTGGCCTGTTCATTGCATGTGTTAAAAATGATGTATCAACTGATTTTGTATCCAAGCAAGAGACTTGATAGAAATGAGCCTAATTCCAGATCCAGGGAGACCTTTGGAAAATATTTGGGTATCCTAAATGCAGGTCATAAAATTTCGGCTAGTGGCCAACAGGCCTTATACAGATTTGAGACCCATATAATAACATTTTGAACCAATAAATTAGTTTCAAGTGTCATTACAAATGTTCCTTGCTGAATTTTTCTCATTTAGCAACCAAAATTATGATTATGTAAAAATACCAGCTTTGTGACTAATCCCTGCACTTATGACTCTTGTAGCATCCCATGGTCATGTGATTGCCATTTGACGCCTTGTGGTTGGTACATATTTATGACCATTACAGTCTAAGTCATGATCACATGATGTTTCATTTAATGACTTAATGGGAAGTGATCTATTGTGGTCACATGATTTTCTGCTTAGTTACTGTGGTGCTTAATGATGGAGCTGCTGGTTCCAATTGTGGTTACTAAATGAGATCTACCTGTAATATCTAAAGATCATCCTTAGTAGGAAAGAAGCTGAGGCTAGGTAGGCCAGGTGCTTTTCTGTGCTATTTTTATTTCAGATTTTTATTGATGTACTCTAAATGCCCAAGGAATAGTAGCCGATCCTGACATATTTCAAGGTCTTGACCTACTTGATATTATATATATATTACTCTACCATTTATGTCTGTGGCTCACAGGCCTGAAAAGAAATAACCTTCATTTTTTGGGATTTATGGTGGCTCGTGCCTCAACATGATAAAAAATAGAAGGATAAGAAACATTGAAAAAAATGCCATCTTACCAGCATTTAGAAGCCTGTCTATAGTTACTGACCAACATAAGGTGTGAACCTTGTAAATTATCAAATTAATATAGATGTTACACAAGTGGAAATACACAATGCAAGCTGCCTCAACCCCTGTTGGGTTGGAATCTGATCAGTTGCACTGTTGGATTATTGAGCCTGACCTGCAAAAAAGTGGTGTTATGGGAGCAACCACCACAAGAAATGGCATATCACTCCAGCATCTCCCATACTTTTTCTGTGAATCAAGCCAAATGTCATTGCAAACCTAAAACACTGCATACCGTAAAGGCCTCTTTGTAGGGTATTCCCAGACCTGCATTCAT